TATATATATATATATATATATATATATATATATATATATAAAAAGAGTAAAATCATAATACAATGCAAATTAGTTTACACTGATAAATTTTAGACAAGAACTTTATTTCTATTTATGCTTTTGATTGCAACAAGCCTCATGCATTTTTAACAAGATAAAATGTTGCTGAGGCTTTTTACTTTATTTTGTTCAATAATCACATCATTTAAGTAATTTTATCTTTAGTGATCAGAAAAGTAATTTGGTGTTTGTTATATTAAGCATCTTGAGAACATTTCATCACATAAATTTATTTTTATAGATATATTTGTAGAAAAGCTATGATATTTAAACATTTAAAAATAATTTATTTATATTTATTTTTAAAAAATCGATTCCCATTAACCTTTTCCATTCACAGAAAATTTTATTGAGAAAATGTAATTTTTTTTCATCTCGTTCTATTCAAATTAAAACTTTTCATGTATAAAAAAATATGAAATATTTTAAAGAACCTTTTAGATTAAACCAACCTACCTTGATGGCATAAAATTTATATTCTTTAGTAAGAGATGGAATCCTTTTTGTAAATTCATTACAAATTTAGAAAATCATTCCTTTTTTTTGCATATTTTAATAATTTCTTCCATAATAATTTGTATATCATTTTTAGGTAATTAATACTTAATGGAGTATAATTTTGAAGGATCATATATTCTTTTAATTGATAGATATTATAATCAAATCACATATTTTTAGATTTTCAAAAGTACTATCTTAAAATTTTCTCTTATATATTTTCTACATTTTTAAAAACCTTCAGCTTGTTTACTTCATTGAGGATAAAATTTCTTTTAATGAAATAATTTAATTTTATATAAACTTGAAATATTTTCACATATTAATTTAAAGTAAAAAATTCGTACATAGTTCTTAATCATTAAAAAATCAAATTTTGTTTAAATATTAACAATACATAACATGTTAATAGCTACAAACTATTTTAGTGAGAATGTATTTTTTCTAATTTAAAAAATATTAAAGCTTTGCTATCAAATTCTTTATTTAAATTACATTTTTATGTTCAATTATTAAATGAATTGATCTGTAGCTACAAAATGCAATATAGAAACAGTGTTAAGTAATATGTATTGCTTCAATTAGTTTTCCAACTCATGAAAGCATTTTAAAAGTTAATAGTTTACAACAGATGAGTTTAAAGTAAATAAGTTTGGTCACCACTTTTAACTTTTTTAAAGTCAATCATAGTTCTCTCTACTTTTGAACTAATTAATTGTCTCATAATACTATAAAGAGAAGTTTTAGCCAGGTTGTTTTATTAATTCATAGGATATTATTCATAGTTGTTTTAATATTTGATGCTCCAATTTCTTCCATCCAAAATGAATCTGCTATTTCACACATTTGCAATAGATATTACAAAGTACTAAGGAATTTTATAAAATTAATACTTCGTTTCATTACAGACTGGAATATTCATTTTGCGCTATTATTACCTTTTGTTACAATCATTTAAAATTTATTTTTGTGACAATTAATGCATGCTAGTAAATTTTAAAAAAAACCAGGTGGTTTGAGCAATTTTATTAAATTTTATAACATAGGATATTTAAAAAAGAAAAACAAAATTGTTAAAAATTATTGGATGGAATTTTTTCTGAATATTTCCCTGGGATCAATAAGAGTATTTTGAATAGTTAGAATTAATTGATAGTATAACTTAACCCAGAATTAAAATGCGTAAGAAATTAATTAGATATTTTGTTTCTGTACACATTATTTAATATATCTATAGTAAAATAAATTGCTTAATTTTTTGCAGGAAAACTAGGTTCATTCTGGAATTGGATGCTTAAAAAGAAGTTATTGCACAGTTTTTATGTATTTGTTTGTATTTTGATTTGTTATATGGAAATAAAATAATATTCTTTTCTTAAGGTCATGTTTTATTTTAAATGTTAAGCATTTTATTCCTGTTAAAATTCTTGTTTTATTTATTTAAAATTATAGAAATTGATGTGTTATTTACAGGTACCCAGTATTTTTTTTTTTTTAAATATTTATGATATACCTTGTTTATCTATTATTGAATATGAATAATATTGAATAGAAAGTTATCTAATATTGAATATGAATAATATTGAATAGAAAAATAATAACTGGGTTGTAGGCTTGTTTCTATCAAGAAAAGCTAATTGTAGGTTTAATATATATAAACCTAATTTCAAATTTTTTTTCATAACTTAAATAACTTATACATTAAGTCGAAACATGTTTTTATCTTAGGGGCCGTTCAAAAAGTACGTACACAAAAGTGGAGAAATTTTAACCCACTCCCCCCTTTCGTACATTACCGTACATAAGGTCTTACTCCCCCCCCCCGCTTAGAGTACGTACATTTTATTAGTCTACCCCCTTTTTCATAAAAATTAAAATAATTATGTTTTAAATAAAATTAAATATTTATTTAAGGAGTGTGTAGGAAAAAGTCAAATCTAAATTTGGTGTTTGCTTATAATGTATGCACTTTGTATAATACCTCCCCCCTCCCCATCGTACAAAATCGTACATAATAGCAAATCCCCTCCCCACCCTTCGGGATGTACATACTTTTTGAACGGCCCCTTAGAATTAAAAATTTTATTTCATTTTACCTCATAATGTGCAAAAAATGTTAACACTCAATTAAACACACAATGATTTTATATGCTTCTACTTTTAAGTTATCGCATTTATAATTGATTAAAATGAAATAAAAAAGAAATCTATTTTATTATGTAAGAAGATTCATTGGATGATAATTTAATATGAACTAAACTTTTTACACATCATTTTGCTTTTTATATCGTCATAAAATATTTTGCATGAAATGATAGATATTGTTTTATTACAATATAAGTAGCTAAAATACAAGAAATTACTATCGCTGATATCAGCAGAGGAAAACAAACACACCTGACAATATTTGCTCCCAAAATAAGAATTGTTATCAACAACATACAGTAAATTTGTTAAAGCATTTCAAATTAAAAGCTACGATAAGTTCTAATAAAGGTAAGTTAGTGAAAAAAAAATTGCCGAGATAACTAAAATAAAGGTGTGATACCGGCAAGGGCGGCATTAAAGTTTTCTAATGAACCAAGTGTAAGGTGAGTTAAGGGTGGTATATCGGCAAATAAATTCGCTTACGCTCCTGAAATAAAGGTGCGATAGCGGCAAAGACAGCATAGACGTTTTCTATTCAACCTACAGTTAAGGTGGTTTAAAGGCAAGCGAGGCAACGGCGTGTGCCAGTGAACGTATTCAGCTTTTGATATAAAGGCAAAAAAGACATCATAAAGGTACAATAACAACCTTTATGGCAATTTTCTCTTTATTCTGTGAAATGAAATTTGTTTTCCGGTATTTAACAGGCAAAAATGGCAAAGCAATCCAAAGGCAACAAAGTAGCTCCGGTCCTTTAACGATTGAAAGAAATTTTGCCTGAAATGCCATCACTGGCCCTCATTTTGGCCCAGATTTCACTTTATTAACAGAACCAATACAGCAATGATCGAACCACCGTAATGGCATTTTTGGTGAGTCGACATTGTCCTTTCACTAGTCCAAAAGTCGTGTGCTTGTAGGGTAGAAAATCAGCAAAAAGATGAAAAACTACACACATCTTTTTAAGTCTAAATATCATGAATTTTAAAATGGCTTACTGCTTATCAGCTTGTCATAAAATAAATAAACTATTTCATTTTTTATTAACCAGTAATTAAAATGCTTACCAGTGTATAGTATTATTTAAGTTACTGTTATGTAACGTTTGGTACTCCCAACTTAGAAAATTAAAAATTACAACAATTAAATTATATATATTTTATAAAATAACAGATTAAAAGAAGTGAACTGTTTCACATATCTTGGAAGTAATTATTAAGAACAAAGGCAGAACTGATGAAGATCATCTAAATAATTTAAACAAAGTCTGTAGTAACTTTAAAATGCTCAACAAATTCTGGAGAAAAAAAATATGATTTTAACAAAATTACAATTTTCAATAATATTGTAAAATATACACCGATATATATGTGTGGGAAAATATAGAACTGCAATAAATTTAACAGGAAAAAAACTTCTTAAGTTAATATCAACAAGTGATTTAACCCATTGGCAGTTTAGCAAAAGGGCAAGATAGGGAGAATGTTTCTCCCTGATACACTATATCCCTATCTAATAACATAGAAAAACTGGTTTTGCTATGCGGTGATGACTGCGCGTTAAAGTACGACTTTTTATGTGCAGAACCGTCAGTGGGTTAAAGAAAAAAGATTTACAGTTGAATTCTGGGGCTCAGATAGCCTGGTTGGCCGAACGCTGCGCTCGCGTTTGTGAGAAATTAGGTTTGAATCTGGTCATCTGAAGAATCCCTGTGCATTAAACGGTGACTGGTGCAAGTTAAATCCGTTGGGGGCACAAAGCCCTCCAAGTTCCTATAACAAATCTATTCCTCTCAGGGTACTAAATTGGAGATTGATCGTTCTCCGGTTCAGATCAAAATTACGATCTATGGATGAACGAATGGAGTATGATTAGGTCCTCCCAGTAAAATGGGTTGAGACACACATGTGTGTGTGAATGAAGTCGTGTTCTTGACCATAGATAGCGCCACTGAAAAATCAAGAAACGCACCCTCTCTCTTAGAAATTTGCTTGATTTCAAGCTAGCTTTCTGGTATTAGCAAGTGGCATAAGTAATAGTTAAATTCAACTGATTATGTAAAATTTGCAATGAGTATATAGCGTAATATAACGATATTGAATAACATAATGAGTGTTTATGGGAATATTGAGCTAGAGATTAAGTCTCAAGAATGGCAATGAGATAAAATCTCAATGGCTAAGATCTTCTGAATCTCTTGCCTATGATAAATTTTACTTAATATTTTCTTAATTGCTTTTTGCAGTTTCTCAGTCCTGTGATAGACAAAATTTGCTTTTAGCTTATATAAAAATAAGACATTATTACCGTGTAGCCGATCTGGTGGCAGAACTGGCTCTGGACGGTCTAGGTAAGCCAGATCTTACTCTCTCTGCACTTTTAGGCACTGAGGTGGGGGCATTAGGAGTGGTATTAAGACCTGATCTCTGGTGAAGTGATCTTCCTAAAGGTGATTCTTTTCTTGGCTAGAAAGAAAAATTCGTATGCAGTTTTGAAAATCGTTTCTTAAAACTCAAAAATATTGACTTTTTAGATGTATTAGAGTATATCAACCAGTAAATGAACAATTAAGCACAGCTTGTCTTTAAAACGCTCATAATATTTTCAAAATCTGTAGTTTTTGGTAAACAATAGTGTCAGCATATTTGTTGTAAAATATAAATTATGTAAAAAGAAATGGGAAGGAATTTATAAAATATTGTTTTAAGATTTTGAAAATTCAAATAATAAGCAGTAAGATAACCAAATGAATAAACTGCTCCCACCAGTGAATAAACACGAAATTTTCCAGTGCATGAATACTTGATATTCTGATTATATTGTAACATTTTAATGACTTACAAGTCATACAAATGCCTGAAAAACAAGTTTCCTTCTTGAATTGAAACAAAGAATACCAATTATTTTGAAAAATTTTACACTTAGTCATATAATGTGCATGTGTAAAAAAGTCAAAAGTCAATTAAACAGAAAGACAGATATCTTCTATTTTCTTTCTTATACATTTCTTATATTTCCGATACTACCTACTTAAATTTTAGAATAACAAGAAGATAGTGCAAAAACAAGTTGAGGAACATGAATTATGATTTTTGTTAAAAAAAAAATTTAATCCTGAAAATACCTAATTTTGTCTTTACGTAGAGTTCATTTCCAGCGAGACCTTGTACGCCACATATTTCCTCAATCAAATATATCTATAAATTTTATTCTTCAAGATACAGCTGAAGTTCTTGAAGCCAGTTTCAAATATCAGCTTTCTCAAGGCTTTTTTTTAAAATTTACTTGGTGTTAAACTGAGTTATCAATGACTGTCATCTGAAAAGGCTTAACTTTTTATTAGAACAATTGCTGAGATTCTTCATACTAATTTCTGTCATAACATAACATTACAGACGGCATTCTTCACATTGTTCATATACATAGGGAATCCAGTTTTGGATTTCTATCTATCAAATCTTTTAAAACAAAAAAATGACAATACTTGTAACGGCCCCATGTGTCTGGCTTTTATTATCCTCATAATATTGTTGACAAACGTTGCTTTTGGACTATGAAACTGAATAGATTAATTGTGCAAATTGAGTTGTTTTGTCTTCACAACTTCTATAAACATAGCCAAGATCTGTTCTTGAGTACTAAACTTCTCATACTTTGCTTTCACTAAACATCACTGATTATAAGTGAGATTGCTCTTGAAAGGTGATATTTATTTTACTTAAATTATCTTAAATTTAATCTCATTAAAAAAGTAATAAAAATACCTTTTATTTTTGAAAACTCATTAATAGTTTATAACACAAAGCAATCAATACCATTAGTTTTAAAACAAATGTAAACCTTGGTACTGAAACATCATAAAAGCCCCTGGTGTTTCAGCAGTTTTTGGATATCATGCTATTGTAGATTGTTATATGATTATTTTTTTCTGTTTCTTAGTATAATGTGTATAGTATTTTTACAAATAATGCATTAGTATTTTCCTCATATTATTGTAAATACAATGAATGAATAACATTATTACTTATTATAAGTTTTTAATTTATTTCACTATATTTATTTTATTACATTTCTTTTAATTATATTAACATAGAATTTAATTTTACCTAAATATTTAATGCAGTCTAATTATCACATATAAAAACAATTTATTAATACAGATGAAGTCATAGGTATTTTCATTACGAGATCTTGACTATTGAATTAGCTAATTATGATGAAATTATTTTGGCAATTCAGGCTACTTTCAACACTATATTTGGTTCCTTTAGTATTACAGAGCTACTAAATATGTTAGAGCCATATAAAAACATAATAATCACAAACTGTTCATTTACTAGGAAAAAAAGAATGAACATGCCTGTTTAATCATTAGATAGGATATGTTATTTGTATATTTTTTAGAATTTTGATGCATAATATGAGTTGAGGTATACAAAAATGTTTTTTATTTTATTTTCATCAATATAAAAAAATCTAAGTGAAAGAACATGTATTCATTCATAGGTTTTCCAACAACTTTCTTAAGCAGTTATTTCAATTCCCCATCCCAGTTTATCATAATTTATAAATTTACATAAAAAAAACTAGCTATAATGTACTTTTTTACACATAAGCACAGATTCTCAGATAATATACATACGTAATCATAAAAACAAAAACAGAATACTTTGAAATAATGCATAGATTTTTATTATTTTGATTGTTCAGCCCATAGATGTATAATATTTTATTTTGTAAAAAGAATTTTATTCTTTTGTAATAAAAGCTCCAGATGTAAGTAGTATCTGATTTTTATGCATGGAGACATGGATATAGTCCACTAAGTTTCAAGTTTGGAAGGGAAAAAAAACTAGAAACAGGGGAGGTGCTAATATTTTTACTGACTACCAGAAAATTTTACTGGTAATTTTACTGGTATACTTCAAATTATTGGAGCGCTGAACATGGAGGTTTATTTCAATAAGATTAGATTATATGAAAATAAGAGAAATTAATTTAAATATAAAAGATAAGATTAAGGGAGAAAAGTGAATTTAAAAAATCCTCATAATTTGACAAAATTTTTAATAGCACATGACCTCAATCTTTAAGATTTAATGATTTATTTTAGTATTTATATTTTGAAAATTATAAAACAGAAAACTAATGACAGAGTGATTATTTTATATAGTATTCTAAAATGTAGAAATCATAGCATAGAAGCTATTAACTAACTATATACTCTAAATTCTTAGAAAAATTTAAAGTATTTTATTACTTTTAGAAACTGAGCAAATTAATCACAGTTTAAATTAGAAAAACTTGTAACTTCTCAAAAATAAGCAATTAACAACCTACTTGTAAACTACTTTGAAAAAATTAAAATTGGAAGCATCTTATCTCAATCTTTATAATCAACAGATTTAAAATGATATTTTGCTGTAATTTTAAAGATAAAGGGTCTCCCATAATTTACACAAGATTTGAATTAATAGAAAATTAATTATTCAGTGTTGGCAACCAAAAAAGAAAACAGTTCATGGTTAATAAAAAAGCAGCACTGCAAATTAAAGCAATTCACTTTCATTCTTGAAAGCCCATGTAAAAATCAGATTACTATGTGAGACATTTCCTGGCTGTGTACTCTTGTGTTTCGGTAATTAGAATTGGCCCCTTAGATTCTGTGACACATTAGACTTTTCACTATGAGGCAATTTGAAGTTAAAGATGTATATCAACAAGCCCACACCCCCTGTGCATTGAAGGAGATTCAACATTGCATTAACAAAATTTAGCCACATTTATGCAAAATGGTCATGGAAAATTTCAATGAAAGAGTGTGTGTCAGTAAAGCCATGTAGCTCATTTGCTTGAAGTGCTATTCCACACATAACCCTATCTTAGGTAATTTATGTTGGAATAAAAAATGATATACTTAAAAAAATTGAGTTTTCAATTTAATTAAGAACATTTGTAAATTAAGAAACAACCTTTATAAACTGTATATAATTCTATGCAACTGAAAAAACAACAGATGTGCATAGACTCTGAATGTCTCGATTTTCCCAGAATTTACTTTTATTTTTCAAGTAGTAACAAAATGCATATGCTAATATTTTTAATGATTTTGACTACTTATAAATAATTTAATTAAATGTGTATATATAGATTCTTACAATGTTTCTAAAGAATTAAAAAAAATGCATAATTAAAAAAAAATTCCTGCTTACAAATATAAAATCAGATGCTAAAATACCAATGCAAAGAATTGTATCAGAAAATATAAAAAATGGCAGCTTTATAAATGCTTCACTTTCATGAAACATCTACGATATTTTTCAATTGCATGGCAGTATATACCACAAACATAAAATTCAATAAATAAAAAAACATCCTATTATGTGAGCTCTACAAAATTTTAGCAGACAAAACAATCAATCTGCTCAGTAATCACACATTTTTAAAAATTCATAAATAATTTTCAAATGTGCAAGAAATAAGTATAAATGATCTTACATAAAATTTATGGAACAAGATTATAGAAATTTGATAAAAGAACTCCGGGGTTTTGAGGCAAAATATTTTAAAGAAATAAAAAAACATACATGTTTTATACATGACTGAAAAGCTTACATTTTCAAGTTTTTTTTAACACTTAGTAAAGTTCTATATGAACCCCGTTAGTGGCACGGCAGACGTCTAAACGGTATTCTACCTCTTCCCATGTCCTGGCGAGCATGTCTGGGGGGACGGTTGCCACACAATTGACTATTCGTTCCCTGAGATGTTGAACATCACGAATTTTCTCTGCATACACAAGATTCTTGATATGCCCCCAGAAGAAAAAGTCCAACGGAGTCAGATCAGGGCTCCTTGTAGGCCATGGAATAGGTCTCTCCCTTCCGATCCACCTGTTGCCGAGCCGAGCGTCCAATGCCTCACGCACATGTAAACTGAAGTGTGGCGGGGCCCCATCTTGTTGAAAGTAAACTAAACCCTTCTCCGCCTCAATGTCATTTAACTGAGGAAAAGATACTCCTCCAACATATCACAGTAGACATCACCATTGATCTTTCTTTTAATAAAAATAAACGGACCTATGATTCTGTCATGCATAAGCGCACACCAAACATTTACTTTGGGCGTGTCGCGTTCGTACTCGACAAACTCATGGGACGGCTCAGAACCCCAAATTCTGCAATTATGCCGGTTTACGTGACCATTCACATGAAAAGAAGCTTCGTCTCTAAAAATTACACTTTTTAAAAAACCATTATTGTCATCAATTTTATCTAGCATTGAAACAGTCGTATCTCTCAACCTTGTCTGCTGGTTTGATGTGGTGTACAAGTTGAATCTTGTTGATCTTGGTAACCCCAACTCCAGGCTGCGTCTTGTCAACGATTTCTTAGGGCTTTGAAGGCATGAAGCTCGGATTCTGTCCACTTTCTCTTGAGACACACTCGGCCTACCTGGCGACCTTTGCTTCAAAACACTTCCTGTTTCCTTAAATGTACTGAACCATTGACAAATGGTTTTGTCAGAAGGCGGGTTAACACCATAGTTACGTCCGTCGAAAGTTTCTTTGTACGGTAATTAAAGACTTCGTTTCTATGAGCCAAATAACGCATTAAGCCTTTTGTTGCGGAGTCGCCATCATTTCAAATTTCGCGACGTCATTTCAAGGTCAACGCCCTGTAGCGACGCCAACAGTTGATACAAACATTCCCAATTGGTATGAGTAAAACTTTTTGAGCTACTCTTTTCAGAGAAATCGACTAAATTTTGCTATCTTTTATACACTGGTTATCATAAATTAAGGAAAAATCACAAAAATAGCGATAACTCTTTCAAAAGTAAGCCAAACCGTGCAAAATTTGCATATGTTGTCCACTAAGAGTNAGTGTAGTTGGCGAGATATGAATTTTTAAAACCCCGGAGTTCTTTTACAGACACCCTGTACTTTGTTATCTAAATTTACTATCTAAGCTTAATGGAAGAAAAAAAGACTACAGGCATAGGCATGAAACTTATTAATATTCTGTGTATGACAGAATATGCAGCAGGAGTATTTTTCAATCCAGAGTGAAAATCATGAAATCAGTTCAAAACTATACTGTTCCAGATAATATTTAAGTTAAAATAATAAAGAACAAATATTAATAAACTATTTATTAATTTCTGATCTGTATCTTTGAAACATATTTAATAAAAATAATTTAATTAAAAATAGTTCATTTAAACTTTTCTGCTTTAACTGTAAAACTAAATATTATTTGAACAATTCTAAACAGTTAACAAAAATCGACCAAAAACTAGAATGGGTAAAATATTAAAAAGGTAATAACTAAACTGTTACAGTTAATTTTTGTTCATTTTGCTTCAAATATATCTAACAAAAAATAGATGGTTTTTAAAATAATCAAAACTAGCATGAACTTTAAATACAATGTTTAGTAGATAATGCAATACACTTATTTAATTAAATTACATATTTGATAATTTATAAGGATTTCAATAATTAGTTTACTTTTAATTGTATGCAAGAAACTTTTTAGGTCCATTCAATAAATACATAGTGGTAATTAAATTTGGAATTTTATGTGTTTTACCGATGCTCAGAATTATAAATTAAAATTTTGGACACTTAAATACACTTTTGAACAGTTTAGGTTTAAATTTTTGGAGAGCTAGTCTAGAACCAGTATTTAAGACATCAAAAACCTCAAGCTTATTGTGTGGGCAAACCCTAACTATAAAAAAACAATTTCTGACTATTCCGACTAGATACAAATATTTATATTCCCACGAATAGAAAATATAACGCTGCTATATTATCAAAAATTACGCTTAGTATTATCTTAAAGCAATATCATACCTTTTGGGAAGATTGCACATAAGTATCAGTAACTTTTCCAGAAATTCTTTGATTTTGAAGTTTCCCTTTATCACTAGATGAATTACTTTTTGATTGTTTGACGGATAATGGTTCTCGATTCAAATTTGGCAGACTTCGCCTGTACCCACTTAGCTTTCCTATAAATATAATAAATACACATATTGTAAGAATTAATACATAAGCTAAAACAATTAATTTTAACAAAACAATTATAATAACATTATTGTAATATTTAAATAATTATAATAATTATCTCTTAACGTATTATCTTATTTTTGTGAAATGAAGTGAAGTGAGGAAAGAGTTGGAGATGCGAGCTTCTGTGCTTAGCGTTAGATTTTGTCATTCAATGTTATGATTCTGTCGGAGAAATTAACTCTGACTTTGGAGCTGTTTATTTTTGTTGAAATTTTCTTTTGTGTTTAGAAGGACTATGTGTCATTTTATTTCCAATGCACCCAGCTTTGGCAGATGCAGCCCAAGAACGATCTGGAATTCTCCTTCGGTTTCTAACATAAATGGTACCCTCGGGGGGATGCGGGTGCTTATTGGAATGAAATTCGAAATGAAAGAATGATTAATAGATTGAGATGCAGGGAGTTTTTTACTGATTATCAGAAGGTGAACTTCTGAACTGTGAATTTGAACTAGTTTTGATTATGAATTGAAAATGGAATTAAATGCTTTGAAAACACAAAGAAAAGGTTCACTCACACCGTGAAGAAAATCTAAACGGAATAAGCCAAAGAAGTAAGAGATTTAAAAGCTCTATCGATTTTAAAGTTTCAACTTAATGATAAGTTCCAAAGACTTGAAGTTTGTCAAAATGCTATCTCGGAGCAGCTTTTGCAGAGTGAAGAGACAGAAAATGCATATAATGAAGATTTTGAAGAGTTTGAGAATTACCGAGACACGTTCTTAGAACGATGTGCTCAAATAAACTCGGAAGAACAACTCTCCATGCTGCCGACTGACAAGAAAACGAGAAAATTTATACTCCCTAAAATAGAACTTAGAAAATTCTCAGGTGAAGCTAAAGATTACTTAACTTTTTGGAATACTAAAAGAAAACAAAATTTTTTAAAATTCTAAATAGATAAAACTTTTTTGAAAAAAATGCGCTAAAAAGCAGCAGAAATTTCAAAAAAAGTAGCAATAAAGGAAACAAAGCAAATAAAAATAAAAATATGACCAAAAGAAAAAAATATATATTTTGTATATATTAAAAATATATACAAAAACCTAGAATTCTTCAATCATTTTCCAAATTAAAAATTTAACATTACAAAAATCAAAAGGAAAATCATTATTACTCAAATTATTCACAGCTTCCCGAAAACTTTCAACATTATTGCAAGTCTTAACTGAGCAGCCCCAGTTAAGCATTCTATTAATTTGTTACATATCTCTTTCTCTCGACTTCTTTTATTTTATTTTCTATCTGCGCATTGTAATAGAGGGCTTTGTTTTCTTTAGTTTTTAGTGTTTCCTTTTCATTCGGCTTGCTTGTGAAATCGATGTTTGACCTGGTTAAGTGAGTTTTTATTTTATGATGTTTTTGTTTGAGTTTCTTTTCTTAAATTGGTTATTTATATTTCATGTTTTTTCCTGGACTTCTATACAAAACCATCGGGGTACTAAGGGAGTTAATTTAGGCATTTGCCTCTCCCTCAATTAGAAATGATTTTGTTTTATGGCTACCGGAGAATGTACCCCCTGAAGACGTTGGCTTCGTTGGTCATATTTTTATTTTTATTTCCTTCGTTTCCTTATTTAACTTTTTGGAGCTAGTTTCAGAAAATTCATGATGGCAAAAACTATTGCAGACAAAGATATAATGCAGTACTTACTACAATCTATGGAACCGAAGTCGAAAGCAGAACGTCTGTCTGATCCTTAGTTTTCCTGCAACAGCAGCTAATTATTCTAAGGCTATCGAACAATTTAAGGAGCGTTTTGGACGAGAGAATTTGCTGATACAAATATATGTAAGCGAATTATTAAATTTAGTCATGAAGAACGCAGCAACCGGAAGAGCAAAAACAGATTTACCCTCCCTCTATGATGAACTGGAAGGCAAGCTGAGATCTTTAGAAAGCTTGGGAAGAACCTAAGAAAAATATGGGGATTTTTTGACACCGTTAGTACAAAGTTGCCTACCAGAGGAAGTATTGGTGGCGTGGGAGAGGAGTCGTAACCACAACTCCACTGAAAAAGGAGACCGTTCTTTGGAACAGTAGATTAATTTTCCTCGGCAAGAAGTGAAAGGAGAAGAAATGGTCTTGCTAGAAAGAACTGGTTTTGCCCTCCACCCGAGTCACCATAATAAAAACCTTCGAAAAAGAGCAGGTAAGATTAGCCGATTCGGCTACCGCGACAATGGTACTAATTTTCGGAGTGCATCTAATAATGATTCTTCAAAACTAAATGGGACTAAAATTTTACAAGAGACTGATAAAATTCTTTGGAAATTCATCCCTCCAACTGCAGCTTGGTGGGAGAGGCTGGTTCGTATGGCACTTTAGGTAAATATGTATTAAAACGCACTTTAGGTAAATCTGTATTATCCTATGAAGAACTCTATACTTTAACTTGTGATTGTGAATTCATAATAAATTGCAGACCTTTAACTTATGTATCAGAAGATCCGCAGGAGTTGATCCCTCTCACACCTGCCATGTTTCTTATCGAGAACCGGAGTTCCAGTGTTGAGGATATTGATACAATATATTCAATTGAGGATATTGATATTGGAACAATTTTACGTCCAATTAAACGTATCTTCCCACTAGAAATTCAGGCGGATGAAAATAGCATCGTTGCAGATAAGAAAATTGGTGTAGAGGAATCAAATTCTGCCGCTGAATGAAAAATCAAAGGTGGCTCAGCACCTGATAAGACGATAATGCAGCGATATACAGTAGAGAACCGATTATCCGGAACGATTGGGACCATCGCGATTCCGGATAACTGATTTTTCCGGTTTTCTGAATTGCTACAAAATGCCGTTTTTTTAATGCTTATAAAACGAAACTAAAAAAAATTTTTTAAATAGTTTTAGAAATAATAAAAAATTATAAATAATAATACACTTAAGTTTAAATAAGGAAAGAAATTATGAAATAAAAATTATATACAGGCTTATATATGTTATTATTAACATTAATAACATATATAGGCTATTTGTGCTTATGTGAGATTCGTCTACAAACGGCTTTTGATCCGTCCTCTAAATCAGTTCTTTCGTCAACTCGATACGCCTCTAAATAACAAAATGGGTTCAAAATCTTGCAGGAAAAAAAACTTTTTTAATGGAAGAAAATTAATTTCCGGTTCCGAATTTCATTCCGGTTATCTGGTTTTCCAGTTTTCTGACTTTCGGATAAGAGGTTCTGCACTGTACTTCCTCTGGAAGATGCGTAAAAAAAAACCAAAATACTTGATTTGTTTAATAATGTATTTTATGAGCTTGAGACTCACTCTGAGTCTCAACGGGGAGAGGATGTTGTGAAATGAAGTGAAGTGAGGAAAGAGTTGGCGATGTGCGCTTCAGTGCTTGGCATTAGATTTTGTCATTCTAAGTTATGATTCCATCCGATAAGTAAGTTCTGACTTTGGAGCTGTTTATTTTTGTAAAATAAATCTTTTGTGTTTAGAAGGACTATGCGTCATTTTATTTACAATGCACCCAGCATCTGATAGATGCAGCCCAAGAACGATCTGGAATTCTCCTTCGGTTTCTAACACTTATAATTGCAATTTCATCTTAAACAGCTTTTTTTCATTTTAAATCGATAGAATGATAAAAAAAATTAAAGCTGATATTCTAAAAATAGAATATATCCAAAAATAAAAAAAAAACATCAAAATTCTTTTCACTTAATAGTTTAATTTTATTGTATTTATTCCTTCTTATAATTGAAACTATAGTTAAGGAAAAGTTCTGGTCTCAGTTTGCCTTTAATATAGTTGAACGTATTTTAAAAGTATGTCAAATAAAAGCAATTTAACAAACCTTGCATTTTATCACTGATATGTAATGACATATTTGAGCTATATGGGCTTTCAGAGGAAGAAGACTGATCAGAATGATTCAAAGGCTCTACTGTGAAGGAATTATTTTCTTCTAAGTCGCATCCTGGAGCTGAATAAAATAATAATGTACAATTATAGGTTACAAAACTGTTAGAGTAATTTTAAACATCCAAACATCTACCACAAAACATTTTAAATAAAGTAGAATATATGAAAGAGGCTTGATCACAGACTAAGCATGTGAATCTCACAGTCTACTCATATAAACATTGTATATTTTAATTATAGGTGTCTGTAGATTCATGGCTATTTTAGTTCTGACATTCAGGCAATTATTGTTTAATATATCTTATGCACTTCTGTTACTTTAATCCTCTTCTATATTTTAGGATAAAATATCAAAAGGAGTATCAATCTGTTTATAGTACTAAAACACCTCAACATTGCTTCAAAACTTCATCTTATTATATTGTTCTTTTTGTCGACTAAACTGTGTAGGGGTCAGGGAACTGGCCTTGCATCAGAAAGGTTCAGGGTTTGAATCGAGGGCAAGGCATGGATGTTCTTTTATTTTCTGTACTATCTGTCCTTACCGTGGGGAGCAACGTTGGCTGACCTAATTTTTTGCATCTTCACTTTTTTCATAAAAATAATTTTTTTAAAATTAATAATAAATAAGTTTTTTTAAGATTTATATTATAGCACAGCATTTTTTAAAATCGTTCTTGGCTGACTTTTTTTTTCATCTTTGCTTCTTTTTTTTTTTTTGAAAATATGCTAATATGAAAAACTGAGATTAAGAAATAGTTTTTTTTTCATGATCTTCTTTCATTGATTTTTTTATTTCAGCTTTGCAAATTTTAAAAGCACATCTGATTCATTTTCTCACCATTGTTACTTTTTTTAAAATATACAATAATATGAAATTTTTAGCTTCATAATTTTGTCTTAAGAATTAAGAACGGTCTATTTTCTTTTTTACAGTTGCTAATAAGTCTTTTACTTGTTATATCTTTATTTCTATTAGCTTTTCTTTTAATATCTTTAATTTCTATTAGCAGTGATTCTGATATGCCTTTTGGATTTTTTTTAAAGTTTTTTTTTTTAGTTCGCAAATTTAGCTTTCTCTCCTTTATTAACATTGATTTTCATTGGCATTTTTATTACGGCAGACAATTTTTTTTCCAGGAAAAACAGTAAAATGAAACACTGAGAATTTTGGCAAAAATTTGAACATTAAAAAGGATAGTAATTAAGCAAGATTTTTCTTATACTCCTCTCTAGCACTCTAATTCTCAGTTTTTTAATTGTTTATTTTAATAATAGTTATAGACAACTTTTTTGTAACTTTTCCTCCCTTAACATTTCATTTCTATAAGCGTCAATTGCAAGAATTTTTTCCTTACATTAATGTGCATCTTTTTTTTCTTCCTGAAAATAATGAATGAATTTTAGTGTTCAATATCCAGAATTGGTCAATTCCAATACATTGCAGATAGTCAAGTTTCAACTGTACATCATTTTTTTAAACTTTTTATTTCAATTTATTTAATTTTAATTTTTATTTAATTTATTTCCTATAATCTGAAAAACACATCTCGCATTTGGTGATAGTTTTTATATTATACTAAATTACGTAGTATATTGCAAAAAAATAAATAAATAAATATATATATTTATANATTAGACACAAAATAAAATTTTAAGAAAAAGTATTTTGTGTGATTATTCTATCATTTTTCATATATATATATTTACAGCTTTCTGAATTAGAAATTCCAAGCAAGGAACTCTCAGATAAGTCTTGGTCTGAAGCAGAACACCGGGAAGAGATTTTTCTGGACAATGCTCCAACTACAATGTAAAAAAAGGAGAAATTTATACTATGAGATACAAATAATAACAAACATTAAAAATAATACTATATAGCATTTAATAGTGAAGTGAAAATTTAAGATTTAAAAGTTCATCAGCCTATACTGTGCATTGTCACAGCAATCATATTTCTATGAATTTAGCAGCATTGCTATACAGTCAAACCTTGTTAAAATAAATCGAAGGGAGGCAGAAAAGACCATAAATTTTTTATAAAAATTGTTCAATGCATAGGCATTTTATTTTCACTTTACATAACTTGCGTTTTATATATTTATATAAACTTCAATTAAGAATGTGCAAAACAATATAATTTTATTTTATTTCTTCCTATAAAGCTATTATTTTCCACTTAATCATAAATCATTCAATATTTTTTTTCACTTTCATAAAAAAATTCAATGAATTACTTAGAAAGTAAAAAGTTTATTAACTAATAATTTAAAAAAACAACAAAAATTAGTCTACATCTAGGTTTCCCAATTTGGTTAACTTTAAGAAAGAATTAATATTTTAAAAAATAATAGTAAAAATAATAAATAAAATTTAAAAATTAATAATAAAAATATGGTTGCTTTTATTTTAATCCGAGGGCAGATGATGAAAGTAAACCACAAGCTTCTGTACCACCCTACTCAGCTACCCAGACATGCATGGACTTTTTTGAATTCCGAACCGCTAAGATATGAATTTTTCACCATGGCGAAATTTCTATTTACTCAAAGAATAAAAATTTTGAAAAAAGATATCAACATTACTGTCTCCTTAATTATTTAATAAATAATTAAAAAACGAGCATTAGTATTTCTTTTCATTTTTTATAAGTTTTTTATTTTTAATTCTTTAGCTTTAGTGGAAAAAAATGTCTAGTTTAATGCTATTCGCAGAAATTATGTAGCTAAATTAAATTACATCAAACGAAAATTTATGTATTAGCACATATAATGTATTGATGATGGGTAGATATATTTTAATTCACTAGATTCGTGAAAGTGTTGATTCCTTTTCAGTGATACCGAATGCTTAACCTGAGATTTTTTCACAAATTTTAAATAATTTTTTTTTTATTAGAAATGCATAATGCCTTAATTTTACTATTTTAGTATTCTTCTTTGCAAGCACTGACAAATAGTTTGCAGAAATAAGAAGAAATATTAACAATAACCATATTTTGCTAATGCTATATAGCAGGAAAAGGAATTAAAAATTATAAATATAAAAATAATTTCTAACGATAGCAAAATTCCTATTTACTCAAAAAATAATATTGAGAATAGGTATGAGCATTAATGCGTATTTAAATATTTAATACATAATAAAAAAAAGAAGAAATATGCTGCATTAGTAAATATTTATTTAATACTACACATACCAACGCTTAATATATACCTATTTCTACCATAGCCGGTCAAATGACCGGACTTTGTTTCTTGATTGAATGTATGAAACTTGGCCAAAGGATACCAGAGGAGGCCTTTTCATTTCCCTTCTAACCTTCAGTAAGAGTTCGGCCCGAAATATAGAGCACCTCCAGCCGCCCTCCGCGAGGGTAATAATTCAAAGCTGTCAAATTGAAAACCCGTTCCACTGTCTCCCCTACATTTTTGGTGGGGGGTACGTGTACTTCCTGGGGTGTTAAGTAACCCGAAACTAATTAACTGACCACTGTCACAGAAAAGGGGGATTGCAACCTGCAGGGTCAACTAGCTTTGACTTAAATTTATAAAATTTTACTATGTAGTCATATGAAAGTAATTCATATAAAGTAACTACATTTAAATTAAATTTAAATTTTCTCTATAAATCAAATAAAGTTTGTTATTTTTTTTAAAAATTGATTTGCTAATTTGTAAAACTTTTTATGTTAGAGTAAAACCTTGAGTTTAGCAAGATTTTATTTTTTTTATTACTTATTTAATTTTTTTCTTTCAATTCCAACCAAGATAATGGCAGATATTTTTTAATACAAATATTTTCTACAACCTTCTTTTCAATTTTAATTAATTTTTTAAAATTTTTTTTAAAGATAGTTATACCGTTTTGAAACTGATTAAATTCTACCACTTTAAAAAACTATGCTGACATTTAATCCACTGCTTAAGCAAATACGGTTGTTTACTATGTAAATTTGATCTAGACTTAAAAATTTGAATTTCACAATTTGAACGAACTAAATTAACCTTCACTAGAAACTCACTTAATTTTAATTATTACTTTTGCTAACTACATTTATTATTGTATAAATATCTCCAAACTGGAATTATGATTCGATCTTAAAAAATAAACACCGGGGATATTTTTTATTTGCCACAAACAAATTGAAACATCAAAATTAAAAATTATTCACATATATTATATAATGATCACAAAATTTTACATTATATTAAGACAGAACTAGTTTCCGATTATATCACTTAATTTATTCTAATAATTTAGCTCGGATACATTAAAAACTTCACCCACAAACTCATATTCATAATTTTTACTTACATAATTTCTACTTAATTACAGTTACTTTAAAAACTTATTGTCAAAGATATTATTTAACAATAATACAAAAAAAATTTCCTATTGATCTAAAACAGTTATTTAGTATAAATTAATTAAACTGCATGTTTTGAGAGCGCAATTTTATATGAAGTCTTTTTTAAAGGAATAAAGGAAAATATAACTTATTAAAAAGCGAATGTATTTTATTTATCAGCTTTTGGTTGTTAAACGGTATTTATATTTTATCAAATAATTTTTATCAAGTAATATCTTGTGATTACTTTGTATAATAAAGGAACTTCATTTTTAATTTTAAGCCTTTAACTTAAAATTATTTCAACCATAATAATAACAAAAAAGAATAATGGTAAAAGTGGGTAATAAAAGCATTTTATTTGTAAATGCTGTAAATAAAAGGACAAATAAATAACTTACAAAAGAATAACTTATTTCTAAGAAGTTCCTTAAAAACTATCTTTGATAAGCTTTATAATTTTCTGAAAGTAGAAGTAAAATTATTAGAAAATTGATGTAACTACTATTTCATTTCAGTTTTGAGGGTTTATAAAAAATACTATCATTTCTGTCGTAAAAACAGGGTTCGTGATTTTTTTGATTTAAATCGGATTTTTTTGATTTAAATCAGATTTTTTTGATTTTTATTCAAATACACTGTAAGAAATTATAACTGATTAATCCAATTAACTTAATATTAAAACTCTATTGTAATAATATTTTAGAAGCTCTAACTAAAATAATTTTTCATTATAATACATGGCTTTGAATACATAGCAACCATTTTGAAACAAATGCATGATTAAAATTTAAAGACTAGATGAAATAGAGAATTTAAAGAATACTTCAGGGGTCTGTCTGGGTTTTTCTGAGAGGTACCTATTTTGTGAAAATTAAAAATTATATTAAAAAATCAACACAAATATAGTAAAACTATGGATTCATCTTTTCTTACGAGACACAAAAATAAAATTTTAAGAAAAAGTATTTTGTGTGATTATTCTATCATTTTTCCTAAAGTTGAATTTGTAAAGGTACCGTTAAATGGTAGTAAATATGGCTTGGACAGACCCCTGTACTTTAACTATTAAAACAAAGTTTCAGTTAGCAAACCATAACTTTAATTTAAAATTGTGATTTCTTTTTTTTTTCTCTTGATTTTTAAAATGACAAAATAAATGTAGCAGACTGTGTTTATAAATGTAGTCATTCATCAAAAAATAAATAAATATTTAATCTATATATTTTTATATTAAAATATTAATTTTTAATTCTATATCAAAATAGATAAGATAAAAAAAAAATTTGAAAATCTATGTACTCATTGGAATTTTTTTTCACAAAATTTCTTTATAGAAAATCAGATAATGTCAAAAATACTGCCAACATATTATGAGAAAAAAATACCAGTTAATAACCCTAGTGCATCAAATAGACTATGAAAGAGTTTGAAAGGGAAGAATGACACTATATTAGGAAAAAATATCTGAATTCATCAGCCCTTTTTTTTTTTCTTTTTCTGATTTCGGCATATTAAGGTAATTTCTTTTTAATATAACCTCAAGCTTCAGAAATATACATTTTCCACCAATAAAATATGATGTAGATTTTAATTCACGCTTTTTCATTCAAAGGGTAGAATTTTAATTAACATTATCTGTATTATTTTTTGAAAAAAATTCATGTTTATTAATTATTTTCTACAACTATGCAAGTCTATATTAAGACAGCATTAAATGTTTACTTTAATCTGTACTTTCAATCTCAAGAATCAAAACATTTTTAAAAATGTAATTTCAAATGTGTTGGAATTTAACACACACCAAGAAAGTAATTTCGTTAACTAAAATTAATTAATGCAGCAATTTATTTAAATTAAATTTTAATACTAAGAAAAGAAAATGATAAAAGTATCAAATATTTAAAACACTGTTTTTTGATTTTTAAAATCAATATATATAGATAAAAAAAATTTGTTGATTTAAATCATGATTTAAATAAAGCTGATTTAAATCAACGAACCCTGCGTAAAAATAAATTATAACATTTTTGACTAATAAACTGAAGTGACAGTTTAAATTTATTTTTCTAGTAGATCATTTTGATGGATCATTAAAAACAACAAAATAAAACAATTCTATGTTATTTTATATTTTAATATATAGATTTGTGAAACTGCTCACTGTAATTAATATAAAGATTTATCAAAATAATCGAAATTAATTTATAATAAAATATGACACGGAAATTTTTGAAAGAGGCATTTATTGATTTTCATTAAAACTTACAACATAACAACAGATTGAGACAAGTTTACTTTACAAAATTTTATCAAATACAAAAATACAGAAAAATATGGTTATCTAGGAGATATATTCATATAGATAGCATGCTGGCTAATCCAGGGAGGTTTTCGTATTTTTCCTCTCCATGTAATGCAAATGCGGGTTAGTTTTCTTATATTTTAATTAACT